GAGAGAGAGAGAGAGAGAGTTATGGTATTATAGTTATTACATGATAGTGTTGGCCAAAACTTTCACATATCTTACCGATAGGGATGACAAATGCGATAACAGTTTTTGATACTCTGGAAACGGTTGGCGTTACCGCCGCACCCGGTGTACGAGAAGGGCTTACAGGTGCGCGTCTCGTGATCGTAGTAAATGCGGGCCAAGTCTTTGCTGCAGGTGCCCGAGTCGGGCGGTTGGAAGCACTCGATGGGCACGGGGACCATGTTGTTGTGCACCACCACAACGCGGGTCTTCAGGGCGGACATGGATGGCGGCGTTGTCATGGGTGACGGGTCGGCTATTTGTACGGTGACCGGGTGTTGGACCACCACCTCTCGCGATGGCGTGTCGATTGACTCGCCCGGAGCTGGCACTGGTAGGGGACAGGTATTTGGTATATGGCGACCATATTATAATGTGCACTGTATGTGCATATGGTATAAGTATCTAAATAAATGACTTACCCGTCATTCCCGGATTCTGGTGGGAATAACCTGTGAAAAATGGGTTGACACGTGTTTTACAATTCCGTATTTAATGACTAATTGTAAATTACTTACCAAATAGTGGAAGAATAATAAGTATTAACGTTAATATAGTCGCCATTTTTCCACCGTTTGTGCAGCAAATGTTTGATTTTTTGTTATTTCATTATTAAAACTCTATTTTCTAATTAAATAGTTTGTAATTATTTAATTAATTATTAATAATTTTACGTTTTATGTAGGATTTATATTTCCCTTATGTGTAGATTTTAATTGAAATTTGAATTGATTTAATGAATGAGTTGTAAATTTTTTTTAAAATTATGCTGCGTGTATTAAGTGTTATAAATTATTTAATTAAATCTAGTGTAATCTAGTTATTCAATTGATTATTTAAATTATAACTTGATTTTATTGATAAGTCACTATTAATCGAGTTTTATTTGTGATAAGCTTGATTGTTTTTTAGAATAAAAATCATCCTGATAATCAGTAGATTAGTAGTTGAATCAATTTTACTTCTATTGAAAAATACCAAATCAAAATTATTACTTTAACTATCCTATTTATTTTGTAAATCCTCTAATATGATACTTTAATAATTAAACTTCAAATGATTAAAAATAATGCTATAGTTTTATGAGATTTAATGACATTGTTTTGTCGATATTAACCAATAGATGTCGCCATCGTTTCCATTTGTGAAACACAACTGATTTATAACTAAAACATATTTATTGATTCAACAGATGTCGCCAAATGTCTCGTAAGGTTAACATTGAACTTAAATTTTATTACTTTTTAGCGTAATTTACCATTCTCTTTTTCTCTCTCTCTCTCTCTCTCTCTCTCTCTCTCTCTCTCNGGCGGACATGGATGGCGGCGTTGTCATGGGTGACGGGTCGGCTATTTGTACGGTGACCGGGTGTTGGACCACCATCTCTCATTTTTGTTTTAAAATATTTTTACCATTGTTAATTGCAACTAAAATACATTTAAAAACATATCAAGTAATGAATAAATTATTATCTATAGCTTTTAAAAACTTCGCTTATAAAACTAATTATTTAAATGGTGTAAAAATACAATAATAGTTAATTAAAAATTTTAATTAGAATATTTTAATAATTAAGAACTCATAAAACTATTATAAATATAATATTTAAACTATATTATAATTAATACAATCATGTTAACTTTAATCAATAAATGTATTATCAATGGATTGTTTATCAGGCGATGATTGTCGGGGAAACAGTTGTATAACAGATGAGTCGCTCGATAGGGAACGATAGTGTTTCTCATTTATTGAATGCAGTTTTCTATTAAAACTATAATTAGAAATAGGAAAAAATAAAATCACCATGATAACTTTTAAATTATGATAACTTACATATAAACTACTACAACAACCACCACAACGAGTAATACGATAAACACGGTATTAAATATAGCCAATGCTGGAGCCGTACCAGTCCTACCGGTGCCTGTATTTACACTTTTAATCTCACCCACAGATGCGCTGATAATATTTCCACTGTTGGCAAAACTGGTCGGTATTGTATCCCTTGTTAAGCACCGGTAGCCCGAGTGGGAAGGTATGCACATTTCTGGACACATGTGGTCTTTGCACCGATTGGTGGCGTTTGGTCTCAACAGTGGACTCATTGTCTTAAAGCCGTAAAACACGTGTCGATCGATCGGTAAAGTCATAAAAGTTGCGAAATATTCCCCACTTTTGTTTACATTTTCGCTCATATCATAGGAATTGAACAGCACTTCAGCTCTGGGTATACGGAGCGGGAATTCCGGTATTTTATACGCCATGCGATCGTTACTGAGATATAAATCCCGGTTTAAGACAGACATTGAATTTAAGGAATGAAACAATTGATAGGATGTGAAGAAAAAGCGTTCATTTTTGCCGTTAAAGTCCACCGAATAGAGGGAATAGTCTGTGATATCAATGAAATAATATCGTTGTGTTTGATAGTCGACTGTCAGATGAAATGGTTGTCGATGTCTGGGATTGTCGTAAATCACTGTCTGATTACTGCCGTCTAAATCCGATTCAATTATGTGGGAATTAAAGCCTAATTCACTCCATATTAGTACACTTTTCATGGCATTAATCCGCAAATCTCTGGGATTATCCGTATTTATCCCACATATAGTGTATATATTTTTCTCATTATCATTAATATCCAACACTTTTAACTCTTGAGTCTCGATGTCTATCCATAGGATCAGATTGTGGATCCAATCAAATGCTATCAAATCGTGTCTAACTTTATTGCCGGTTAGTGAAAACCTGTTGACTTCTGACCAGTTGTTTAAGTCGATTAACTCGATGTGATTTCCGTCCCTCCCGTAGACCACAACCAGTCTATCGTCGAAATCGTATTCAATTATCTCATTGACGGCAACACCGGTCGACACCACTCGCCGTACGGTATGGTTAGCGTTGGCCACTATTATGCTGTAATCGCTGGCAATCAGTGCACCGGCATTAGTGTTCAAACCTGTTAATTATGAAATAATTTTAACTCAATAAACATTTATTATACTAATATTTTAACTTTTATAAAACTTTTATAAACACTAACACTTTTATAAAAATAATTAAAAATGTCAATAATTATACGTCACTTTTAATCACATTTATTTGATAACACAATAAATAAAACAGAAATTATCATAATCATTTAGGATTGTGTTAGATAAATTAGAAAAACGAGACTTACCTATATTTTCTGTCTCGTAAGTGATATTAAAGCCTCGATTAACCCTATTGTGGTCCGTAAGCATTCGTATAGTTATCTCACTCGATGCGTAAAGCATGCTAGGTGGATTATTTTCACCAGTGTAATTACCAATTAAGTTGCATGTATTATTCCACGGCATTTGCTCACACACATTAATGTTACCATCATAAATTAACATAAAATCGTGTTTGTTTTCTAGCCTAAATTCATTAAACACAATAAATATATTTTTGGTGTATTCTAGCTTTATGTGCCAGGTACAATTCATGTCCTCGTAATAGTGTTCGGGATAGCCGGGACTTAATATGGTTTTGGGGATAAATGTATCATCTAGTTTACCACCACATGCTTAATGTAGAAAAAATTTAAAACATCATATACTGCATATTAAAATAATATATGTAAATAAAAATCATTTATAACAATAATATTTACCCAGAGTGGTCTCATAATTCAGCCCGACCCTTGAAGTTGTACCACCATCAATGTTTACTAATACTTTATTGACTGTGGACAAAACGTGCGAGTTGGTCTCTTGAAATGTGGCCAATAATGTATAGCACCCATCGGTATTGCAATCATATACCCTTATACGTGGTTTTTCATAATTACGTTTGGTAAGATTTTTGACCGTAATGAAAACGCTGTGATTTTCAGCTACCGTGATGTACCATAAGCACTCTCCACTGTAGCGCATAATACCGTTAATAACCCCGTTTGGTTCCGTGTAGTTACCATGGCACAAGCTTTCGGCTTAAGAGAGATCATGTTTAACTTGGTATAATCATAAAATAAAATTAAAATGGTAAATAATGTTTATTTTAATACTTTAATTTATTGTGCTAATTCTAATTTAGAATTTAATTTTAGAAATGTACTCGGTAAATAATAATTTATCAAAAATCCAAATAAATACTTTAATTGTTTAATAACATAATCTTATATTATTAATGTTATGGAGTCTATTAAATAAATTTTATCATACAATAAAATAAATAAAATTAGCGTGATTGACATAATTAAACTTAAAACATACCTGATACATTATGAAAATTTATAATCACACAGATTATTACAAAAATATTCACAATTGTATTATGTTGACAAGTATTACCCATAGCAGTTGTTAATTGTACTTATATTATTTATATAAAACATTCAAACAAGTTATATTATGAAAAACAATCAATTTCCTTTTGTTAATGTCGTTTCCTGTTAATGTCTTAACAATGCTAATTGAGTTGTAAAAATATAGCATTAGCTCATTCACATCACCAAGCACCAAATAAATACTCTAAATAAAATAAATTATTATCTTATTTATTACTAAATTGATTAGCTATGATAGGATTGGCACTGATTAACAGTTTTGTTAAAATATTCAATTAATAAAATTCAAAACCTTCTAAAAGTACTATAATAAATTATTAGTATATGATCAACAAATTATAAATCACTTAACATTGTTAAATATTTGATTTTGCTAAATATAAATTAGATTAAAATATTAATACTAGTAGTTAAAGGGTTAAATTATGTTTATCAGTATCCTTTATCAAAACATTTACTGTATTTTTAGCTATAATTAAACATTTTCATTTTTATTCAATGCAATTTTTGATTACTGGTATAAACAAAATTATTTATGTTAAATGTCATAGAACTAATTAAGATAAGTTCAAAAACCTGTCTACCAAGTTAACCCAATCAAACATGTTCATGGCGATTGTTTAAAAATATCAACATTAAATGTAGTAAATTAATGAGTATTTTTCACGGTCAAACCATACTTACTAATTAATAATTTAAGAATTAATACATATAAATCGTTTAGCAAAATCAATATCTATTTATTTTTAAAAATGCAATACAATTACGAGAATTAAATAATTAAAAGTAAAAAATAAGAATAATAATCAAACAATTGTTATATAAAATCATAATTAAAAGCGACTGGTGTTAATTAACTTCACAGGCAATACCCTTAATCACGGCGACTACAGTCAGCGCCCAATGCCTGACACTTTTGGCATTTGTCCATCCGGTGCGGCACATGGCTGTCATCGGGATGATCAGTGGGTCTCAATTGACGCTGCTCATATACATTTATTAAATATAAATTAATTAAATATCGTGTATTCTAAATTATAATTCAATAGAGTATTATGTCACATAATGTTTATAATTGTTGCTACAATTGCTTAATAATTATATACTTAATTAATTAATAGTTTATATTAAATATTTCAGTATTTTTATTACATAAATTCAACTAGTAATAAACTTGATACAGAAATACTAACAATTGTGAGTATTTGTAATGATTTTGAATGTAATTTACAAGCCTCAGGATTTAAGGGATTTATTTTAGTTGTAATCATCACTCGGAGAAAAAATTTAAATATTAAAATAACCTATGCGAGATTTAAAAAAGGTACTGTAGTATCATATCGCTTACCATGTTTGATGGGTCTGACCACTGATCACAACCATTGCACTGTTGTTTAAATCCGAGCCAACACGCGGCCGAATACCAGTGCCGGTGGCACTTATGGCACCGGAATTCACCAAAATATCGCTTGTTTGCCACTAACTCACCTGGCTTGTTTTGGTCTAATAGCAAATTATAATGAATTTTAATTTAAATATTGTAATTAAAATATTGTATTAAAATATTAAATATTGTATGCTTGTTAATAATAAATTAATGAAAATTAAACATAATTAAAATCTAATTATTAATTAAAAATGTCACAAGTATAGCTAGAAATTAGTTTTAATAAAATAACAATTTATTACACATTTTCTTCTTTAGTTGTAATTGACTTTCTGTTAATTATTGATAATTATAATAATACTGTTATTAATAACTATTTAAAACACTATTAGAGATTGCAATTAGTTTTACTCCAAATAACGACTATTAGACAAAGTAGTGAGCAATTAGTTTGTGTGCAAATAAATTGCTTGACTTTTGATTTATATCAATCAAATTAATGTATTAATTATACAATACTATTAATTGTACAATACATTACATAACTTATAATTGCATTAATAACACTCCTATTTATTCCCCTCACTTTTCCCCACATATTTGGCATTAAATATACATTATATTATGCAAAATATTATTTTTAAAATATCTGATGACTAATGTTCTGTATGCTATTAGAAATATTTATAATACATTAACCAATAAAACATTTAAAAACAATTGAATGTATAGTAATCTGCACAAATAAATTTTATAAATTATAATACAGTATATTGTGCAATTTATAATGACATTTATTTGAATGAAAACAATTTTAGCAAAATCTAAACAAGCTCAGGAAATGTACCAGCATCACTATCAATATTATTATTATTTATATTCTAATATTAAACATAAAAGTACTAAAGTGCTGTTTGTTCCAATAAGACTGCTACAGTATACTTATTTGAATGCACTTACCCTCATAAATGAGTATAATTACAATGTTAGTAAAATGATTCAAACTTGTTCATTATATAAGAGTGTATACACTATATTTAAAAATGGTTTACAATATTATAAATGTCATATAGTGTTTATTTAAATTATAATAATACATGAGTACAATCAGATTTATTTTTGAATTCAAGTTTACAAAATATTACAGAACTTTAAGAAATGGTTACAAACATTTTTATGTTATAAATTGTAATAAAGATTATAATTAATTATTTAATTTTGAAGAATAACATAATGATTAAGTAATTAAAATACAGATATAAATTCAAAACCAATACACTAAAATACAAATACAATCACATTATAAATTGTTATACAAAACACGTGATAATTATTAATAATTCAATGCAATTATAATTAATAAACCAAATAATTAAGTCATATTAAAAAGCAGAACAAAAAATAATAATCAAAAATACAGTAATAATTAAAATGCAAATCATATGAAAATCACAACACATTTAACAAAAGCGAATAAACCATTGGCAGCCAATACCCTAATAAAGTCTACTGCAGTCGTAGCCCAGGGATCGGCATTTTTGGCACTTATCGGTCTGGTGCGGCTCACGACCCGGTTTGACCAGACCAGACTTGTCTAACTCGCGCTGCAAATAAAATTACCATCATAGTAAATAGTGAATAGTTACTGTAGTTATTAGGTTATAATATTTACCATATTGATGGGCTGCGACCACTGACCGCACTTTTTGCACTGCTGTTTGAAAGACAGCCAACAATATCCTGAAGACCAGCGCCAACTGCACTCATGGCACCGGAATTCGCCAAAATAGCGCTGATTTTTCACAATTTGTTGCTTTTTCTTGTGATGATTTCGCTTATCTGTATTAATGTAACAAATATTGTTTTAATTAATCTTGGTAAAAGTAAGTTTATAGCATTAGTGTTAATTCATATAATTATAGTTATATAAGTTTTTAACTGATTTGATAATAGGTTTGTATAAGCAGTTTATAGTTTTATTTTCATGAATGTTAATTGAATGGGTTATTTGGTTAGATTACACGTTATTAATTAATAAGGTAATTAAAAGTATTGGATAATCAGTATTATAATAGTTATAACTATTATTATTTTAATTAAAAATAATTGTATTACACATTTCGAGATCAGTTGTAATGAAAACAACAATTAAGTAATAGTTTTAATCAAAACTGTTGTCAATTTCTATTCAAAACACTATTTATAAATTATAATCAAGATTTGAATTATTTCTACAAACAATTAAAACATTTGATTATAAAGTCTAAAAGAGAGACAAAGACTTGAAGCAAATGAAATGTAGTGAAAAACTGATTGACTTTTTTTGGCCACAATTTCACATACAATTGCATGTATGAAACCCTTTCCCTACAACCCCTCCCCCACTTCTACCCCCAAAATTGCCATAATTGGTATAAACGCTAACAAAATAATGTGTTTTTCACTAATCTTGTGACATATTTTGCACACAAACCCTAAATCTGTGCAATAATTAAAGCATACAAACAATGCATATGTATATCGATTTGATTAAAAGATTTATAATAAATAATTTATTAACAGTTATAAATAACATTAATAATAATAAATTATTAGTATTTCAAACAATTAATTTAATTGTATGTAACTTTTAATGCATTTTTACCACGTTTTGAGTATGTTTTTTTTAAATATTAGTTTTGTAGCAATAATTTGGTAAAATCATACAAAAAGCGACAGTAGTTTGTATTTATTGTACTTATTATGAGATTTTGTTTTAGTTGAGAGAAAGTTATTAAAACACATTTTGAAACAAAACTATTTTGATTTAATATTTTAATCCTAAATAACCGTAACGTTTACATCGAAACTACCGGTGCTATCATTACCGACGGCACCGGTCAGGCCATCAATCGGTGTATTGTCTATAACAGTCAGTTGTTTGATGTGACCAATCAGATACGGGTCGTCGATAAGAGGGCCGAGAATACTGCCCACACCAAACATAAGGGCTGATAGTTGTAGTACGGGTGCCGACCTGTGCTGCCACAACTCAATAGTCCACACGTTTTTGGCGTTAATCCAGGCGCCGGCGCCCAAACCAAATATACCGTTGTATAGATACAGGTGGGACAGACGTTGTGACCAGGATACCAATAGGCTGGCCACTGACATCATGGTCAACAGGGCTGTCAAAAGTGGCGTTTGAGTGGCTTTTGTCCGAATTAGTGGCTATGAATATAATAAAAATTAGAGATATCATTGTATATACTTGATTATAACCTAACTAGGGCTTTTATTTTTCGGGAATTCCCGAATAAATTTAGATATAATTAGCTATCATTGATGAGGACAGTAGTCATACCCGAAGCCACAGCACCGGTAATACCAGTCAACGAGTCCTCAAATAACACACAATTGATCGGCGATTCCGGCGGCGATGCAAACCGTTTAACGGTATAAAAGAAAGTACCATCATCAAGTAACTAAAAATAAATTAATAACTAGCACTGAATACAGAGTCCTTATTAAAATAATAGCACTTAATTTATTGATTCAAATTAAATCATTTTACAAATAATAAATTAATTCATTTTGTAAAACATAATAAAAATTCAAACATCTTCGTTGAGATGAAACTTGATTTCCATGTCTATTAGTTCTTTGGCAAATTGGATCAGCTCTAGCTCTTCGGCGGCGGATATGTGACCACCATTTCTATCGATAACACTCTTAAATCCAGTGGTTATCGCATTTGGATCAAAATCCAGAAACAATAGATTAGTGGCCAAAGGGTTGGGCCGATACCGGGGCTCATGTTTTAAATACTCGTGCAGTTTATCTATCAGCCAAATGCCCACCATTTGAGTGAGAATCATACGCAAAATTGAGCCCCGTTTCAGCTCCTGGTAATGCATTATCGTATAGTCAACTGTAATCGCGTCCATCGGCTGTGCCTTTAGGTCGTCGCCAATGCCTCCCAATTGTCGCTCAAAGCGGTCGTAGTATTTGTCCAAATCGGCGGCAATTGTAGTCACAAACGGCTCCAGTATTTTGCGGTCCGTTTCAGTGACGGCAAGACTGTAGGCCCGTCTCATCATATCTAAAGTGGATTCTAGTTTTTGTGTATAAATTTTAGATTATTAGTTGTATATACAGTGTAATACCTCTATAAGAAACCCATCCCGGGGATGAATATAGGGGTCACTTTTTCTATAGTTTACAGTTTAGATTTAAAATTTAATTTATAATATCTATAATATTAATAATACCTAAGTTAAATAAAAACTACTTACAAGTTAGATGGGTTAACATAAGAAACGCTTACATTGTTTATGTAGGGAAAGTATTTAACACAATAAAATAAAGTGTAAAATTCAATTGAATATAATAATAAAAACATATACAGCATTAAAATCCTATATTTTTGTCATTTAATGAACAATTGAATGAAATGCTAACATACTTGTTTAAACTTCATTTAAATCATTAAAATAACAGAAAATTACAAACTATTTCTTATATAACTATTAAAATGTGTAATTCTGAATATTAAAGGCAAAATAAATATTTTAAATCATAGTTTTAGCATGATCATTTGTATAAATGGATCATTTGTGTAAATCAAATGCTAAAACCCAATCACTTCACACAAATGGTCTTTTACTGTAATCATGAAATAACATGATAGACGCGATATTTGTCAATATAATATCATGTCTGTAATGACTACTCACTCGGAACAATGTCTTTAGATCTCTTCCAGTTTTTCTGTGCGTACCGTATGTTCTCATCACTCATTTCTCCGGTCATTAGTATCTTCTGGACGTAATCAGTGGCCAACATCTTCGCCATCGACTCTTCCAACGGATCCAACAATCGATCGCTAAATTGTTTGCCCGATGTCTTAGAACTCATGCTTATATTGATGTACACTTTGTGTGAGATTTTTGCCCAAACTCTTGTTATAATAAAAATTTTAATAAAAATTCATACATTTAATAATTATGCAAAACAGATTGTGAAGAAATATGTGATTAAAATACAAAATTTTTAATTAAATTTAATAAAGTTTGACATAAAAATTTTATATCATATTACATGTTTTCAGGAAATCTAATAAACTATAGAATATTCTACTAACAAATGTAAAATAAAAAATTTAATGTTTTGAGATATTAATTGAAGTAAATTATATCTATTACTACAAAACTAATACAAACTTTTAAAGTTCTAGGTTCTAAAAATAAATCATTTAAATGATTAATACAATTGGAAATTATTTTCTGAATATTTGGACCAATTTCTCGACGATAACAGCATTTGTCACTTGAAATGATTCACTTGTGTCCACACAATCAGTGGTTATATTTGAAGCAAAATCCTATCAAATAATATTATAAATAAATTTGAATTTAAGTGAATAACTAATACATGCCTTTGAATTGGGAATCAAATAGAAATGATTGCAAGTATTGAGACATTCATTAGTATTGTCGTCCATTGAATCCAATTGTGAAGACATTAATATAACCACAGATTTGTCGCCCATTTTTATCCATTTCTTGTTAACCATTGTTTTGCAATCATTTCCAAACTTTTGCTTTTTATTCAATCTATACGTCCATAACATTCGGATCCGTTTAACCATTGTTTCCAACATTAGATCCAAGTCTTGAGATATCATTGCTTTTCCCGCAAACTCTCGTAATTCAGCGCCAATTCTCTTGACTCTGGACTCAATGTTTTGGTCACAACTGTCTCTCAATATCTTCCTCTTGTAATCCATGGGTAAGTCATCCGAAAGACAATTCAAT